TGGTGTAAGTCGATGGCCGTTGCCACGAGTGTTTCAGTCCAACACTCAAGAAGGGGGAAATGGGGGAGATGCTCGTGTTTTAAGCATTAGCCCCAGTAGTTAGAGCATTCATCCAGTGAAACCGAAGGTCTCTATCAAGGTGGGAGTTTGACTCGAGTTACCCACCTCTCAGCAAGTCCTGGACAGCCAACCTTTGCACAGGCTTTGAGGGCAAGCCTGAGCAGATGGGAGAACTCACCTTTTGTGCAGAAAAGAAAGCAAAATGGGAGGCTACAGCACAAGGAGACAGGGGTGTCCCAGCCAGCACTGGCTGGCAGGAGATCAGAAGTATCTAAGATTTATCCAGGATGGACTCAGAAACCATGGCAAGTGGTTTGAAATTCTTGCTGTAAGAGCCTGAGTGTTCAGTTCCTTGAAAAGCAGAGAAGTGAGGGGAGTAGACTGTAAGTGCCTCCACAGGGAGCAGACTTCAAGCCCTGAACCGCTGGCAAACCAATAGACGCAGGTCATACCACAGAGAGGGTCCCACATGGTACCAAAGCAAGGGCACATGTCTCTTGGGAAGAGCTTCCCAGACGTGGCCAACCTCTGCTCCATGCCCTGGTCACCACTCCAAGCCAAGTGGTGCATGAGGAAAGTGGAGGTGCAGTGTTCAGGCAAAACACTCCCACGTGGACCCATCTGTGGGGTCTGTCGTGGTTGGTAATATATGACTGGCTTCAGTCAGGAAGCTGAAGGCAAGTATGTATAAGGAGAAGATACTTCATTTTAAACACTAAGGATGATTTGGAAGTGAATCACTTAGAGAAGCAGTGGATTGTCTCTGTTGAGAGCTTGCTTGTTGATCAAGCTAGCAAGGAAGACACTTGTTAACCAAGAGGAAAATGGATGGCTGCCATATTCAGACTAATATCTTCTGACCTCAAAGCCCTGGTTTTGACTCGGGGCTCTAGAAGAACGCAAAAATACAGACTGTCATAACTTTCCAAGCATGACAACTTCCAGCAGGACAAAGAGTAGAAGGAATGGTATGTAGTGACACTGCCTTCTTCCCCTCTGCTCGCTGTCACGCACGTTCAGTGGTTAGAGACCCCAAAGACTGGTGAGTTTGTTAGTTTAACCTCATTCAAGAGCCATTGTTTTTCTTCCTGATCTGAATGCTGCTTTTGGCGGGGACAAAGGTTTTTGTCTCCAAGGGTGTGGGTCTGACCTTTTTATTCACCATTTCTCAGATGAACAGTAAAATACACTGCAAAATCTTTAATCCTGCTCAGCTCCCTTGCTGGAGGGCAGGAGGTGAAAGCAGCAGTGTGCAGAGAGCATCAGCGTGTTAAATCTCTGCTCAGCTAAGGTGATACATTACATTTCTGCCAGTCAAGTGAGGTAAACATGAGGCGAATTAACTTCTCCTGGTTTTTCACACTATTAAATGCCCAGGGTGTTCTCCATAAAACAGGCTGTACAGCAAACTGGGTGCAGAGGGGGACAGGCTATCGTTGAATGTGAATGCACACACCCTGTAAATTCATTCTTTGTAAATTCTCTTGGCTGGATTTGCAGACAGGAAAATAACGTGGGATGTGGAACTTTGGGAGAAAGGAACAGGATTTACATTTAGACTGAAATACCTTAATTTCTCCTAGCTGATGCTTACTGAGCATGTGCTCTGGAGGATTAGTGCTGTGGAGCGATCCCCCAGGCAGTATGGCCAGTCATGTGGTTGGACTCGGGTCCCGAAGTGCCAACAAGGAGTACAGAAATGCCAGTTAAGCTGATTAGAGTAGCAAACCCCTTCTCTGCATTTGCAGGATAATGGCTTCGTCCAGGTTTCTCAGACTTTCTCCCTCCAGTCGAGCTGTGTCAGATTCCTTATGCATTTGGGATCTCTTCAGAAATACGAAAGCCATGGTGGAGGTCGCTCATGGTGGAGACCTTGTACTAAAGCACTCCTTGGCTTCTGTTGACCAGCAAGTGGTGTGTATAGTTCCATGTCACACATCACTCTGCAGCCAGAAGTAGTTTAACGTCCCTTCAGCCTCACCCCACTGCCTCCCTCAGATGTTCTGTTCAGACAACGCTCAACTAGTCATGCCCAGAAAGCTGCAAAATGAACAAAATTTACAAAAAAAATTACATATCTAAAGGTGTGTGTTTGTGCTCTTGTGTTATATGTGAGTGATTTGGGAGAGAAGCTGGGCACATCTTGTTTCATTCAGCTCATTTCCCGTAGCACAAGCAGCTGTAGAGCTTCACATGGGAGATGAAGGTGGAATTGAAGTGCCCTGTGCTCGCCTGCCAGCGAGGGTCCAGATGGCCGTTTTGTTCCACCAGAGCTCCCGTGAGTTAGCAGGCAGCTGATCTCCCTGGTGCTCAGACAAGCCCCATCCTTCTTACTGATCCCTGTGGGAAGAACAGGGAGGGCAGTTCTCTGCTCCCCCTGCCCTTCCCTTTTGGGGTTTTCCCTGCTGAGCAAGCCATGGGGAAACCTTTGCGATGGGGAGAGCATTGAACAAGAGCAAGCCTGCTGGCTTGGGCTGAAGGCTAGACGTTCAGAAAATTAACAAAAAAAAACCCACAACAGGCTTCAGGTACTAAAGTCCTGTTTAAAAGCATTGTGTGGGGTATGTAAATGTTCTTCCAAACCTGGCACAACGCCTATTCAGCACGGGCTGGCCTGAGCAGGATGCCCACATACAAGGTGGTTTTTATGCTGGAAGCCAGGGCAACCATGGGACAGTGCTTTGCTTCAGCAGCAGGAGGACAAACGACGGAAGGAGCAGTTCTGAGACCTGAACCCATGGCTCTAGCCCAGCCTGTGGGAGGAAATCCCCCATGCACAGCTTTTGCAACATGGACACCCAATGGGGCAAGCTCACCTAGGCCATTTGGCTAATTAGGAAGCAAATCAATAATGACTGGAACACTTCCAAGCTCACCTGCTGGGTGAGATCTTTGTTTTTTCGGAGAGGGAAACTAAAGCAAGAAACTATAAGATGACTTGCCTGTAGCAGATGTCCTTCACGCGAGGAACTCAGACTGCTACCCAACCCAGGGTTCAACACTGCCCCTGTAATATCCTGTTAGAGACCTGGAGGGACCTCTGGAGAACCCCACCCAGCGCCTGACCTGAGCCAAGCCAAGATTTCACTGACTATTCCCAGTGGAGGAGACTCATTGGCACCCTTAGGCAGCCTGTCTCAGGGCACACTGCTTGGCCGGGTTAGAAAGTTATTTTCAAGCCATAAGAATTAAGGAGAAGAGGAATAATTGAATGTGCGAATTAGGAAAATTGCCTCGCAGCCTTTCAGATATTAAAGTGGGAGCATGATTTTCCACCAGTCACCTGTTTTCTAGAAAAAAAGCGAAATTAATTCATTAAATATGGTCTATGGCCAAAATTTGTCTAGTGAGTGTTTCCTAATGAACAACGATGCCTTGGCTGCTTTCGGGACACCAGTTCCTTCCCCAGGGAGAGAAGGGCAATGCTGAGGGATCATGTAGATGGTTTCAACAACTGGTTGTTTTCGTTAAGGTGGTGAAGGCACTTAGACAACTTCCAGTGTTGTCGTTATCCACCTTCAAATATGTTGTCAGTGAAAATGTAGAGGTGGTGCAGTCAGCACGGTGAGGAAAAGGGGAATCGCTGGGAATGCTGCTGAGCCTTTGCAGTCCCTGCAGGAGCTAGTAGAGATAAATCCTGCCTTCCTAGCTAGGACGGGAACATCCTGTGTTTCACACAACAGCTGAGACGCTACAGAAAAATCATCCAGCAGGATCAGCACCAAAGACTGAGCCCTACGTTGCTGGATGGGATGAGTGCAGTTGCTGCTGGTGAGGAGGAGACATCGCTCTCCTTGCCATGAGGAAAGTGTGTTGGGACACGGGCATGGGGCATTATCACTCCTTTTTTTTTATCAAGACTGTCCCACTGTGATATTGTGTGTCTTTGAGACATCTCACCTGGAGATGGTTGAGGGAGAGGTGAAAAGATTTTACTATTCCCTCCTGTCCCCCCAAGAAACGTTCTCCTTTTAGTGGGGAAGGCACAAAGACAAAAATTACGGTTAAAGCCTGAAACAAAATATCTAGGTTTGTATGATGAGTCTGGACCGCTTTGTCAATGTGAAGGGAAATGTCTTGTGTCCTGCAAGATTATCCTTCATCATCCCCAGTGTCTTGTGGGAGTTCTGTCTCTCAGGTAGAGCACCTTTTGTCTGCTTTTTAAAGCATGAGCATTTTTACCGTGTAGGACAATGTTCCACATCATAAATATAACAATTACTGATTACCACGTAGTAAGGATGACTTGGAGATTAAAAACTGCAGAAATTCAATTCTTCGAAAGCGTTTTTTCACTCATACACACCAAATCCATTTAGTGCTGGGAGCACCGTGAAGTGACACCACACGCACCAAGAAGCACAAACCCAGGAGCAGCATGGGACTTCCCCATGCAAAGCTCACAAAGGTACAATTTGCCTTACAGGCAGGAGCAGGTTGTAGAGCTACTCAGTCCAATCCAGGTCTTAGTTGCAAGCTGTGATGTAGGGCCTGGTATTTTATTTCCTCTCCGGAAAGCAGTTTTGGTAGAAAGATGATAATCCATCCCATCTTGCAGGCTGTAAGGACGGGACTCCCCTTCTCCGTGTGCTTTAATTCATACCATGGGATCCGATGACACATGGAATAAATCAGTATCAGTCTGTTTGCTAGCTTAATCCTTGGATAACTTTCTAGGACTCAGTTTACAAAACTACCTGCATAAGCAACCTGCAGCCCCGGTCTCATTCACCACAGTTCAGGCATTAATCTGGATGTATTAGAGGATTGTCTCTCACTGTCTGGAATTAATATTATGAAAGCGTTGGGAGTTAAGTGCTCCTACTCCTCTTCCACAACCTCAGGGCTGCATCTGTCCCTTTAGGGTTGGGACAGTCCCTCAGCGGGGGGTCTATGAGTCCGGGTGTCAGTTCATTAACTGCCGGTTTCTTTTGGTTTAGGTCCTTTCCTGGTGATTGCTGATGTGTTTATACAGGAACCATGGTCATTCTACGACAGGTAAGTGAAGCATTCCTCTCTTTGGCATTTTTTTTTTTTTTTTTGGGGGGGGGGAGGCTCAAGTCAGGCTATTTTTATACTATTCTATCTCCCTAAAAGGAATGCTACAAGATGCAGAGATACTTATTAGCCTTAATCCTTGACTGGCTTAGAGGAAATCATTGCTCTGTGTGTGTAGTCCAGATTAACCTCGTGCAATGTTCCACTTCTATTTTCTCATCTGGAATGGCTCAGAAGCCACATGTGAGTCCTGGATCTGCAGAAGAATAAAGCAGTTTACTGCCTGTCTTGAAGAATGATCTAGTCAAGAATAGATTTTCAATTTCCAGGAACAGTGATGCTTTGGATGTGTAAGAATTGAGTCCTTTTGCACCTTTAAAAAGAAATCAGATTGAAGAATTGGGTTGTACGGCAGGTGTCGTGTCGATTCTGAAATAATTTAGGGCTTGAAATGGTAGTGTTTTCCATATCTAGGCACAACATGTCTCTCGCTCTCAGCTTCTGGGGTGTCTCACTGCCATGCCTCACCTCGGGAGGACTGACAGTGCTGCCGCGTGTCCTGGGCTGGTGCTGCAGTTTAAGACTCAAATATGTCATCGCAGTCAAACATCGAGGCAATGGAGCAAATCTACCCAACAGTTTTGATTCAACTCTGTGTCCATCTTGGCAAATATGCTTTTGGCTACAACTGGGCAGAAAGGGCTGGACCTTTGAAGCCGCGTGCAGGAATTCACATGGGATCCATTTATACCAGAGACAAGAAGAGTTGAGGATAGCTTTGGGGGTGGAAGGAATGCCAAAGGCCTCAGGGAGAAACTGAAATGCTCTCTACAGTGTTGCCCTGGCCTGTCAGGAGCCGTGGCCCAACAAAAGCAGGCTGCACTTTGGCAGGGGTGATTAAGAGCTCAGTCCTCCTTCCAAAAGGCTCAGAGGCATTGGGCCCATGTCACAAACTCTGACTGATGTATTTTGAGATGCCAACAAAAATGGGTGTGGAAATTAAAACAAAGTATGTTGATATGCTAATTTGAAAGCTCAGAATAGCAGTTGTGGCTCTAAGAAATACCCTAGAGCGAGTCTGTCAAGGATGCTATCACTCCAGGCTGCCTGTAATGTCTCTCTGCTGGAGGTTACCCCTCTGTGGTTTAACTGCTATTTCATAGTCTTCTGTATTGGTCTGAGTTCACCCTTTGTGGAATTTTAATCAAATTGACCATCTTCCTAGTTATCCAAAATCAAGGTGTCTTGTCGAGGCAGGGTGCTTTTGAAGTCATTTCCTTCCCACATTTCTTAGGGTAGGACGGATCTTCTTTCTGGAGATGTCTCTTTCCCCTGTCTACCTAAGCAAGACTAGCTTAGGTGCTTGACCCAACTGTGAATGGAGATCTATGTTGAGGAACATCATTCTTCTCTTCTGTCACCTCTGTACCATGATACAGCCAAGCAGATGTCTCCAATAACATCATCAAGGCACTTTATGCCATCCATCTAGTCACTAATTAGCCAGTCCCAGGATCTAGTCTGCTGTTTGGCTCCTTATTAAAACCTCAGGATCTGGTTGGTCTGGTGTGAAAATGGGGCTGAATTCTTGGGCTTTTACCTCTCACATCTGTAGTGTTACAGCAGTAAAGATGGAGCAGAGCAGGAGTGATGCTGCCCTTATGTTAGCAGAGGAAGGGTTATTGCTAGGATGTTACAATAGAAGGAAAAACATAGTGGTGTTTCTATATTGGAAGCTGGATGCTGGAGAATAAACCTGGAGCCGTTTGTGATTGATGTGCTTGCATCACTCAAGTGTTCAAACCCCATCTCCTCCAGGCAGGTATTAGAACAACCCTTAACAGTGAAGCCTTAATATTCAGTGTGCGTGTTCGGTCTCCTATAGGCTTTTTTAAGAGAAGATACTCAGTTGTTTTCCACACAAACATCTTTTAGTTCATGAGGACTGGGTGTTGAAAGCGTATAAGGAATCTCCAAGTGGACTCCCAGAAGCTAGCAACAATATTTGGCACATCACTTTGTGATTAAAGCTTCTTATTAAACAAGGAAAATTCCTAGCCCCCTAAAACAACCTGCTGTTTTCAAAAAGCTCTTCCATCTCTTGCTGTTCTTGATGGTTTTGAGACTAACTCTTCCTGTGGGTTCAGATGCAGAGCAGATGCTGACGAGTATCAGGGAAATAATTTTGTGTAGAAAACTTGTTGCTTACTGCAGACATCATCTCTGCAGCATGGATATGGTGAGCAAGGACTCCATAATGAAAGAAGGTTACTCAGTCGTTAGGAGGTACAGGCTCTTTCTGAGGTCATTTTATAGCAGTTTTCCCCATCTAAAGGTCTGATCTGAGTCACGCTTGAACCACTTTGCTCTCTGTGGTGCCAAGAGCTGCTGTTTATGGTGGTGTTTAATTACAAGCAGCAGCAGCAATATATGTGTGTTTTGCCTCCTTCAGTTTTGCTGTCAGATTTTAGAAACACATTGATGCTGTTCCTGATCTGTATGACTTTACAAGGAGCTTTCCCTCTGTCTTTTATTTTCGGGTTTTTTCATTCTTGAATGTGCACAACATACTTACGGTCCTCCCATCCCAATCCTTTTCCCTTGAAAACTTTCTCCAGCAAGATCAAACAAAAAATTGTCACCTGGGATAGACCAACACAGAGCTTTTGGACCCTACAGCTTGTTTTTTCCTGTCCTTACCCAGCTATAAATCCAGGATTTTGGAAGGTGAGCCCATGGCATTGCACCCCTTCCACTCTCCCATCAAAACAGTTCACACTAGGAACTGTCCTAGAGGTTGGCTCTGAGCAGCTGGGCTCTGAGCAAGGAGGAATAAAACACACAGAGCTCCTGTCCTGTGCCTTCTACCCAGTAATTCAGAAGAAAAGCCAATATTGTTCCCCAGCAGGGGCCTGCAGGGAGCCAAACTTATCAGCTTTAGTCTCTAGCAAATTATTCGTGGCAAGCCCATTTCCATGCACAAAGAAAGGGAAGATGAAAAAGGAGGGCTTCCTAAATTCCTGCCTTGGAAACCTGACAAGTTCATTTGGCTCTGCAGCACAGCGGCAGCTCGTTTTGTCTTTTATTTAAAGCAGAGGAGATGTTTTTAGAGCTGGAGTGGAGACCAGGAGGGTGTGGTGGCCCCAAACGCAAATGACCGCACAGCCTGGCGAGGGGCACATCGCTGCTCCAGGGAGAGGGCTTTGCCGAGGCCACCGCTGTCCTGGTGACAAATAACAAATGTTTGCTGCTTGCCACATGGCTGTTTTTGCCAGTTCTGTCTTCTTGCTCACGTAGGCAGCCCTCATATAACCTGATCTTAAATCCATGGTTTCCCAGTGCTGCACATTTCCTGCTGCTGGGCCAGATCGACAGAAATAAAACCCAATTATCTGAAGGGGAATAAAGCATGCTTGCAAAATTCCCCTATTTCATGTAGGACCATCTCACAAAGCTCATCCACTAAACAAGACTTGGCAGAAGATTGTATTTCTGTGGTCTCCTGACCATGTCCAGACGGCATGAGGAGCGTTGGTGCTGTTGTGGATTTATCCTACTCTTAGTGCCCGCCCCCCCCCACCCTGCTCCTGGGGCTACAGGGAGAAAAGTAGAAATAGGAGTAAAAGAAACAGCAGAGACCTAAGCTAAGCAGATAAAGGAAACCAAAGTTCAGCCTGAAATCAAGGTCCTGAGGGATCAAGCACCGTGGATACCTCATGCTCTAAAGCTCTTTTTAGTTCAACACCAAAGCAAGGGAGGTGTCTCCAACTAGTCTGAAGCTTTGCAGGAGCCAAGGCTTGGGGCAGAGACTTGAGCTATGCTCTCCTGTCTGGGCAGTGCTCCTGGTTAGGTGACTTTTGGGGACAATGCCAAACCCTCATGATTTCTCTGCAGCTATTCATTCTGCAAAGTCTGGGCCACCTCTGGCGTTTCTTTGAGCGTAAAACCCCCCAATACAGCTTCAGCTTTAAACCGCACAAAACAAGTCCTGCGGGAATGAGAGTGTCATTGTTCATGTCTGTGTTTTGTGAGGGTGTCTGTGGGTTCCTGGTCTTGTGTCAGGACTGCCTTTTAGCTAAAATTGTCCTTTCCCCTTCTTGATATTTCTCAGGTGTTTGTATAGAGAACAATCAATTTCCTCCCTAGCCTTGGAATTGACCAAAACCCTACAACACCCCCCCCCCCC